CGGGCGAATAGATTTGGTAATCATGATCAGCACATTGGAAAACTCAACTGAACCAATTCTCATGCAGTTTTGTGAGTTGGATCCACCACCTAACCTCATCCTGCAGTAAGCCCTCCGCAGAAATAGGTATGATTTCGTGACCAGAATTCCTCCTGGAAGAAGTTCAACGAAATCCAAAATTTTGAGATTTGGGACTGACTTGGAACTGTGTTGTTTGAAAAAATGCTGATAATTCTCGTTCCTTCAGATTCTTTTCTGTGCGCCTTTATTGGTTTTGCTCTTGGGATTGATTATAGATATATTCTAGTATAGCTTTTGCGCCTACCAAATTTGTTCCTACAGTTGGTACGTGAATGAAAGTGTCGTACAGTCATCACAGATCAGCTCGTCGTATCGAGGAGGCAAAAAGGAAGGCTCGGCCAGGTACAATCTTTACGTACACATCTCTCCGACATTAAATGAGCAATTTTCTTAACTTTTAGAATTAATCAACTTTGGTTGGGATACCCTATGTTTAGCCGATAAATTTTCCATCCCTGATTTCAAGGACAACATTGCTAGGTACTTCCTACATCAACCAAAAATTATTCTTGCCGACAATGGCGTAATACTTATGAAGTTAATGTTTAGAATTGATGGCTCCAAACTATCACTAGAGGAGTTTCGTGAGAAGTATGAACGTCCTCGAGTCCCTTGTATTATTACTGGTCTCACAAATGATTGGGAAGCGCATAAAAAATGGAATGTTTCGGTTCGAAATTCCTTCATATTATTTTCTATTTTATCCTTTATCCGTATGAAGACATATAATACGGCAGTAGACTTATTGCTCCATCTATATATGCGTGTTACGCTTCAAACCAATGTTCATTTTTCATGCATCTGCCTAGGAAGTTGTTCAGAGGCTAGCTTTGTTCTTGGATAGATCTCTACCAGTTTTATTCATTTGCATATTTTTTCAGTAGTAATTTTTCCTATCAACTTTTTTTCCAAAGCAAAATCGATCTGTATTTCAGCGAATTTCGAGGAAATACCGCAATCAACGTTTTAAGTGCGGTGAGGACGATGACGGTTATTCAGTGAAGTTGAAGATGAAATATTACGCAGATTATATGGCAAATACAAAAGATGATAGTCCTCTTTACATATTTGACAGTGGTTTTGGGGATGTAAGAGAAATATGATGTTGTAGGGAACGATTGGTCATACTTGGAGTGTTATTTCAGCGACACAAGACGAATAAGCTGCTTGCGGATTTTGAAATACCTCTTTTCTTCAAGGATGATCTCTTTGGGTATGCAAACTACAAAAAACGTCCACCACACAGGTATATTTTGAACTTCATAAGGTAG